CTTTTTCTTTAAAACACAGTGGGGAGAAAAATGCATCTTGTAATGCAGAGTATGCACGACCTTCTTCCGAGTAATCCAGCACTGTGGAGGCGGGGATAGGGGCGTGTCGCTCGATTGCGCGCACGACTCGGTGCCCCGTGTGTGTGTGTGTGGTGGCGCAGGTGTGCAACCGTGGCGAGGTGGTGAGCGTGAAGGCGCTGGGGGTGCTGGCGCTCATCGACGAAGGGGAGACGGACTGGAAGGTCATCGTCATCAACGCCGACGACCCGGAGTTTAACAACATCAACTGTAAGCCCCTCGCCTGCTCCCCTGCGTAGTTTTTTGCATGCCAGCAGTGGCGAGAGCGAGCCACTGCGGGGCTGCGTCTGTACCTGTTACGCACGACGCGTGAAGCGGCTACGTTTTTGACAAATCGACGCGCGCGTGACTCTGCCGATGGCGACGATGCACCCCAGCGCTGGCGGACGTGGAGAGACTGCGGCCCGGATATCTGGACGCCACGCGCAACTGGTTCCGAGTTTACAAGATTCCCGAGGGCAAACCGGAAAACTTCTTCGCGTTCGACGGCAAATTCAAAGATAAGGTACCCGAGCGTCGATGTTAAAGCCGGATCGTTTTGACTGTTTAGCCGAGGCGGTCAGCTGCACAACCGTAGTCGCTCTCAAGCTTGCTCAACTTGATCATCGCCAGCAACTACTTTGTCCGCATCAGAGCGAGTAGTTGCTCAATGAGGAAATCAAACTGCATAAAATTCAGGAGCGTCACGACCGATCGTAGCAGCGCACATAACGAATTGCGTCAATTGGTGAAAGAGACGGCTACATTTAAGCGATTAGATTACAAGTTACACGTCGCAATGTCGAGTTCCAAAAGATGAAAGTATGGTGTTGCCCACAAGCGAAAATCCCAGCCGAGGTGGTAGAACGTTCAAGGTGGCCAAGTGCCTCAGAGGTCAGAGTGCTGATCTGGCACCGCCGAGGTCACGGGTTCAAGACTGGGTCCTCAAGAGCAGCGAACCGATGGTCTCAGCCCAGTAGCCAATGACGACACAAATAAACACCATCATGTAAAAAACATTGTTCAGCAGTTAATTTGGCTAAATTCCAGCTCGGGGAATAAAATCATACATTAATCAGTTTGGCCGTCATGTGAAGAACGTCACTGTCATATGCAGAGCAAGTGCTGCCCTCTACTGCGTGTGCACCAGAGGTCACTTGAAGGGATCCCGGTGGTAGCTCTGAAATATCTAATTTCGCGGGCCGTTCTCCAACGCGAAAGGTTGCACTACTCTGCGAGAGGTCCCGAATGCACGCTTTTGGCTCGTCACGCGACCGACGCCACCGATCGCCGCCAATTGGGAGTCAAACCGGGAGCGAGAGGACAGATGGGAAAAGCTCGCCGTGTTTCCCTTAACGTTTGTCTCGCAGGACTTTGCGGAGGAGGTCCTACAGTCGACACACCGCTTCTGGCGATCCCTCATCACCGGAGCCACCAGCCCGGGCCAGCTGGACTGGTGAGTGATCAATGCAGTCGCAGCCGGGCGCTGGTGGCCTATGCTTGCACGTGGCCTGTAGTCCAGCAATGTGAAAGTCGCGGGGTTTGGTGGATCACACGCACATTCCTGTAAACTCCCTCCCTACCCATGGGCGTGGAGGTCACTATCTACTCCGGCTTACCAGGGTGTGGCAGTACAGAAAGTGGGTTCACTTGTAATTGTATTTGTGTAATTTTTGCGCTTTTTGGTGTTTCTAGTTCGTACAAAAGATTAGATGAAAGTTTTCTTGTATGTATGTATGTTGAACTTCTTCCGCACCGTATGTAGCCAACCGTGCTAATCGGAGGTGCAGGGAAAAGACAACAAACTAAACATACTCACCTCTCTTTTAACAGAATTGAGAGTGAGTTGGTGGTTTAGACAAGGCTGAGGGGCATTGTCCACACAAATGAGGTGGTCGTGTTACGTGCACGCAAGGAGTTGCGGGAGTCACGCCTGGTGCGTGATGTTGGTGCTTCTAAGTGAATCACGAGCAGAAGGTCCGATGATAATCGCTGGATCGGTTCATCATTGCGTGCCTGGTGGCGACGCGGGAAGGAGGTTGTTTCCGTGATAACGACAGCCCGCCCCCCTTCCTTCCCTCCCGCCCTCCCTCCCCACCCAGCACCAACACGAGCGTGGACGGAAGCCCCTTCAAGCGCGACCAGAAGACAGCGCAGGCCGCACTGCAGGCTGTGAGTCGCACCACGTGACTACCTCTACGTCGTACGAACTTTGGCGTCGGCTGAGCCGTCGTTTCTTTATTTTACGATGGGGCAAAGGTGCGGCCCTTCAATTGCTCGCTCCCGCCACTTCTGTCGCGAAGGGCCTCCGCTGCTAGAGCGAACTCTACCGGAACTCTAGAGGTGGGCGTACCCACACTTTGCCCCCACCGCACACGACCGGCTGGCCGATCGACTGACCGCGGTGAACGCATTTATACCCATGGGTGGACAGAGGCGGTGGAGAGGGGGGGATATGAGTGTTTAAACTGCCGCACTGGAAGTTGAAGTCAAACCGGCGACCTCTGGATTACAATTCCAGTGTGGCAACCCTTTACCCCACTGAGGCAGCTCAATTTTAAAATAACAATAACAACAGTAGTATATTTAACAAAAAACAAAAAAAACACGCCGATTAGTAAACGATAAGAGGAAGGGTTGGTGGATTACACGAATGTTGTGAAGCTCCCTTCCCGTGGGCGTTGAGGTGTCATATCCTGGCTCGCCAGAGGAGTGAGGTCCAGCAAAATGTGGACTAATCTCGATCTTTTCCATCTGTATCGGACAGTGTTACCCCCTCGCACACGCGGGTTCCGGTTTCCGACCACATGCAAACTATATATTCAGGACCGCAGAGCTTGGGCAATTGTTGGTAGCGCCGGCTTCTCACTGCCTCGCTGCTGCTGCTGCCGCCTTCTCGTTTGTCTGTGGTTACTCACGGCCCCCGAGTCATTCTCTCGAGGTGAGCAAATACTTTGGTGCGGCGGGGCATTAGTACAGGTTCAAATGATCATAATTAGTCCCATCGATGTTCCATTTGTCTCCCACAGAACCCTCCCCTCGGTGCTCCCAAAAGCATCCCAGTCGAGGGTAAGATGTTTTGCCTGTCGACGTTTTAACTCACTCTTATGCGTTCGCGACTCATTGCGCTTTCCCAACGAGCGCTCTCCGATTTGGCCACGCTGGCTTAATAAAAGAACCAGCAATCACAGAGCTGGCGGACATCGACGCGAGCATATTTTTGACATCGAATGTGATCCCCCGTGTCCTTCCTTCTGCACAGTGGACAAGTGGCACTACCTGAGCAGGTAGGAGTGGCAGAAGGATGTTACTCCAGGTGGCGCTGGAAGACGGTTCAAATCGTACGGAAGACGGGCCCCAGCAAGAATGTCAAGACTCCGTTGATCATGCACGGGTGGTAGCAGGTTTAATTGCGTTTTCACAAGGGTGGTGATGTGCACAAGGTGTTGAGAGACAGCAGGACTGGCTAACAGTCTCGGCTGGATAACGAGCTGTGGTGTTCCGCGAGCGTGTGGTTTTGCACGAGAGGCCGCGACTCCACATCCGTCAACGTCGTTAAGGCTGCGATTTCGTCACGGACGTTTTTCGTAAAAAAAAAAATCACGGCCGAGGTGCTGGGAAAAATTATAAAACTATTTGTGGACACGTCATGGAACGTGGTGCGGCAAAGCATATTCCTGTTTCGAAAATAAAATGTGTGTATTTGTGAATACAAAAAAAGTCATCGCTGCTCAGAAGTTAAACATTTAATTTAATCAAGTGGCTATTTTAGGTAATTTGCTTTTTCCCCCCCCTCTTTGAATAGACTATGATATAACTGATTCAAATACATTGAAATACGGGGATGTCATAGGGACAGCGCCTACCACCCTCCCCCCATAACCACGGTCTAGAAATCGGTAATTCCATACGCGTGATGTATGGCAGTTCTTCAAGGAAATAAAGGAAGGGCCCAATGTAATGTTTCTACAGTAATTTCCAAGATTGCGGTGAGGGCTTCGTCCAAATTCACCATTTCTGTGACCCCCTGCTGACCTCCGTGATGAAACCGTTGCCTTGGTGATTAACCACGAACACGCCGATGGAGATGACCGGTCGGGTTCACGTGGACCCGAGGCAGCGCAGTCACTGCCACAGGTCGTTCCTCGAGAACACTTGCAGATTATTTAACGATTTTTATAAATTGGTGACGTAATATATGATTTTGTCATGGTGAGAAAGGGAAAGGTGTTGTCAATAAAGTTTATTTTAAAATGTATCATTTTAACGAGTCTCCCATCAACAAATCCATCACTACCGCTAGTACTACCAACACAACCAGCATCGGGAAATACATCGCTACCACCAGTACTACCAACACAACCAGCATCAGCAAATCCATACCTGTCAACCCCTTATCAGTGCCTACTTTATTACACAATTCAGACCTTATTGGCACCCCGTGCCCTTACAAATCTCAACGTTCGACCTATAAGTCCCATCACAAGGGAGAAACACAGACACAATGTTGCCCGTATTAAAACAGCTGTAAGCCGTATGAACCTTACAACTCAATTTCCTTGTACAATAATACGGGTAAACCGTATGGGTTGACAGGTATGTAAATCCATCACTACCACCAATATCACTACCAACAACTAGCACCAGCAAATCCATCATTACTACCAAGCATCTTGGTTCTTTCGGTAAAGTCACGTTCTTCACCTGAGGACGGCTGCTTGCGTTGTGGCCGAAACGTCGTGAGAATTATTTTATTGTTCTATTTTTATTATTTTATTATTTCTCTTCTACGTGACTTTACCGAAAGAACCAAGAAGATGAATCCCTGCAGTCACGAAAGCTTTAAATCGAAATACTACCAAGCAGTTCTCATTTATTTTGGAGGAACGATTTAACAATCTTTGTAAAACGCTCACATTAGGAAACGTTCTCGTGTTTACTAATAGGGTATTTTCCCCTTTTTTCTGGCAACAAAACTGACACCTTTTGCTCTAAAGAAAGCTGTCTCTGGTGTGGACCAATCAGTTTCAAGGACAATGCATACATTATCAGAGTATTGTTTTTTGTTTGCATTTGACTGCAAGTATTGTGGTTAATGTAAACATGATTCCTTGCAAAAGGTGTCAGTTTTGTTGCCAGAAAAAGGGGGAAACCCCTATTAGTATATTTTGGTACTGGCAAAGGAGGTCCCATGATGTTCTCGTGTTTGTTAGGACCAGTTTGCGCCCAGTATCTCAGAGGAGCTGAATATGCATAACTACCCCACAGATTAAGGATTGTACGTTTTTGTTGATATACATATGTAGGCTTTCACGACCCCAACATTAACTCACAATTACGTTTATTTTGGGTTAGATCGTGTAGCTGTAATGTCGCCGTGTAGGTATAATACTTAACGCTAAAGTAGGGCCACTGGAGCATTAATACGCCCGATTCATTGCGAACACAATAGCACGCCTTAATACAATTACCGATAGAATATAATCACCTTATTGCACTGATCAATAACCTCTCGATTATCAAAGTGGTTCATCTTGCAAGGCTTTTCCGATATCGGCATCTGCTGAATGACCCCACAGCAGGAAAAAATTTCACGCCTGATGATGATGGGTGTGATCTCCAGCGAAACGTCGGACAAAAATTTGTTAAAATTGTTGGACCTTTCAACATTTAGCACATTTGACGATTGGCTCTGTCGAGAGGTGGTTGGCTAATTAAATGACGCATCTGTAATCGAACCCCAAATACAATGTTGGTCATTAGGTTGTTCAGTAAAATATGTATCAGCTACTCGAGATTTAAAAGAAACGTTGCATTTTAACCCTGAAAATAAATTTGACTCGCATAGTGACCCCGTGAAAGCGGATTAATTCACAGACCCAAATCTGAATCTATAGCGCTCACACTATCACCCCATCGCCATCCACTCATCGCCATCCTCCATCCCCACCCAATCACCCATCACCACCCCTATCACCAACATCACCACCCACATCACCACCCCCATCACCAACATCACCCCCATCACCACCCCCCTCCCTCCCATCACCACCCCCCTCCCTCCCATCACCACCCCCATCACCAACATCACGACCCCCATCACCACCCCCATCACCAACATCACCACCAACATCACCACCCCACCCCCACCACCACCCCGACCACCCCCACCCCCAACATCACCACCCCCATCATCACCACCCCCATCACCACCACCCCCATCATCACCACCCCCATCACCACCACCCCCATCACCACCACCCCCACCCCCATCATCACCACCCCCATCACCACCACCCCCATCACCACCACCCCATCACCACCACCCCCACCCCCATCACCACCACCCCCATCATCACCACCACCAGCAGCCTCTGGGTGTCGCTGCGTTGGCGCGGCCGCCGCCGCCGCCTCTCTCCCGCAGCAGCAGCAGCAGCAGCTTGTGTAATAATAATAACAATAACAACATTAACAACTACTTGTCGTCAACGGTAAAGACGATGATGTTATTGGCGGTGTAAACAGCAGCTTGGAGGGGGGAGGGAGGAGGAGGCGGCGGGGGGAGGCGGCGGACCCGGGCGATGGAGGAACGCGACCCGCGCTGAAGCTGCGTCACACGCAGAGGAGACAGCGGCCCGGTCCCCTCTCATCCCCCCTTCCCATCACCCCGGTCCCCTCACCCTGGTCCCCTCTCATCCCCTTCCCATCACCGGGACCCTCACCCTGGACCCCTCACCCGGCTCCTCTAGCCCCAGACCCCTCATCCCAGACCCCTCACCCCAGACCCCTCATCCTAGACCCCTCATCCCAGACCCCTCATCCCAGACCCCTCACCCCAGACCCCTCACCCCGGACCCCTCAACCCAGACCCCTCACCCCAGACCCCTCATCCCAGACCCCTCATCCTAGACCCCTTATCCCAGACCCCTCATCCCAGACCCCTCATCCCAGACCCCTCATCCTAGACCCCTCACCAGGACCCTCACCCCGGACCCCTCAACCCAGACCCCTCACCCCAGACCCCTCACCCCAGACCCCTCATCCCAGACCCCTCATCCTAGACCCCTCATCCCAGACCCCTCATCCCAGACCCCTCATCCTAGACCCCTCACCAGGACCCTCACCCCGGACCCCTCAACCCCGCTGCTCTAGCTCCAGACCCCCTCATCCCCCCGGACCCCTCACTCTCGACCCCTCACCCTAGTCCCCTCACCAGGACCCTCACCCTAGTCCCCTCACCAGGACCCCTCACCCCGGACCCCTCACTAGGACCCCTCACCCCTCACCAGGACCCTCACCCCAGACCCCTCACCCCTCACCCTAGACCCCTCACCCCTCACCAGGACCCTCACCCCAGACCCCTCACCCTAGTCCCCTCACCCCTCATCCCGGACCCCTCACCAGGACCCCTAGACCCCTCACCCCAGACCCCTCTGCTGGGAGCAGCTGGATTCCGGGACCACGTGGACCCCCACGCATCTTGGACCCCTCAAACACCCCCAACAACACCCCCAACAAGGGGACCGAGTGGAGTGGGGGGCATCCACGTGGAGCGAGGGACCTGGGACGGGATGTGCAGGTTCGGTTCATTAACCACGTGGCGGTCACCTCGTGGTCACCACGTGTTCTGCCGTCACCATGCGCTCCTAACTCAACGGGTTCCATGGAGGTAGTAGTATCAATACTACAGGGGGGTTTATTTGAGGGCGGCTAAGATCGTGTAAATGTATAATTGTGTCGTTAAACCCGCCACCACCCGACACGTTAACGGGACGTGCCAATTCGTTACTAGCACAGCAACACCACGCAACCACGCAACATTTACACTCGTTATTTTTGTTTATTATTTAAGGCACATACGGCCTCAAGTTTTCGCAGTGATGTTGTTGTCTTTGTGTGTACTGTAATCCTAATTTAGTAAATTGCAGGTACACAAAACATGTTTTCCTATGTTACCAGGTAAGGCCCACTGAGATAATGTAGCAATATTGTTTTTGCCAGACGGTGACCTGGCCCACAATAATTGGTAGTTAAGCGAATTCGTGGCTTATCGCGTAGACATTTAGAACAGCCAAATCACTCTTCTTGGACGCGTGATGATGATGATTTTAAATGTGGAGGGGCACAAACCGGAGAGGACCCGGGGAAAAATCCACGCGACCACGGTGACAGAGAGGCACCACAAACTCCAAATATACAGCAGCAGCAGGCGTCAGGGTCGGGATCGAACCCACGACTTCCTGCACACCAGGCGAGGTAGTTAACATCTCCAAGCCACCGTGATGATGATGAGAGAGAGAGAGACACGCAAACTCCAAATATACAGCAGGCGTCAGGGTCGGGATCGTACCCACGACCTCCTGCACACCAGGCGAGGTAGTTAACATCTCCTAGCCACCATGATGATGATGAGAGAGAGACACGCAAACTCCAAATATACAGCAGCAGGCGTCAGGGTCGGGATCGTACCCACGACTTCCCTACATACCAGGCGAGGTAGTTGACATCGAGACACCGTGGCGATTTTGTCAGCTAGCAATGGGACGATGTTTTGGCTATGTAGTTGTTGTTTTTACACTTTGGTATGGAGAACGGAGGACAAACCTATGCAGAGCTTGGGGGAGAACATTCAACAAACTCCACACTCACTGCAGAACCAGGAGTAGTACAATGTGAGCCCCATACAGTAAAGGCAGACGAATCCACCTTTCCCATCATCTGTCCATGCTCATAAAAATACGAAGTTTTTTTACTCATCCCATTAGTCGCACACATTACGGCATTGGCCCTGAACACAAGCAAGGACGACTTTGTGGTGATGATCATCGTTGATGGTTCGGTTTAGCGTCCAAAAAAATCTGAAACTTCTGGAATTATGCACTCCCAATAACCACAGTGGTGTTTGTAAATAATACCTTTGCATGCCTGCCAACCCCTTATCTTATTACAGACCAGTTCATACCTTATTGGTCACCCCGTGCCCACTTATAAATCTCAACGTTAATCCTACAAAGTACCATCACAAGGGAGAAACACGAACAGACTCAACATTTTTTTGCCCGTATTGAAACGGCTGTACGCCCTTTGGAGCTGAAAACTAAATGTACCCTGTACAGGAATACAGGTAAGCCGTATGGGTTGACAGGTATGCTTTTGAAAAATATATTTGTTTCACGTGAAGAGATACGTGTGTAGGTTGGCTTTCGATTTAAAGCTTTCGTGACTGCAGGGATTCATCTTCTTGGTTCTTTCGGTAAA